CTGTGGGAAGTTTGGGAACGAGAAAGCAGCTGTGATAGCGAGCGAATACAGTTTCTAAAATGATTTTCTGAGCAGGAAGTCTACCACCATATGTCCTTGAAACCACCAGACTGCCCACGACATCCTCGATTCTTGGGTACATCCTGGTGCAGGTCCTGCTAGTCTAAATATCGAAGGCTTTTCAATAAGTCTTAGATGAAGCGTTGTTGATGACATCTGGAACCTAAAACTTTACCGGGATTCTCAGCACGCACGTTGACCTACAGGCTAAACTCACTGATGTGAAGCGACGTGTAACGTTGTGTGCATGACTATAGGCCAATAAGCAGCCTCAAATCCATTCTCTTGTGGGCTCTTCACCCCTAGTTGAAGTGCGTTTAGCATGAAGGTTTCCATAATGTGCTATTACACTGGGTGCTTGATATCTGCCCAATTGATTGTCCCCTCCTTGATAAATGATAAACAATGACCCTCATTATAGGTGCGGTGCGTGTCACGAGAACAAGCCAGGTCTCCCTCTTTGTTCAGGGTGATTGCTTGACTCTTCACGTACTTTAGCAACAAATGCAGGATTCCTGAAGGTCCCTATAGCCACTACGCCGATGAAACCTTTGACACACTTCCTTTCCCATCGTCAGCATCATGCAGATTAGAAACCAGGGTTGAGACCGTGTCACGAATTCACTCATGGGGAGCACATTATGGCTTTACTAAGGGTTGACCTTGAAAGGGGAAAACATGGTTAACTTCCGACCTTGCTCGATTGCTTTTTCCCTGCATGGCACAGGACGTGTCACCAGGACGACTTAGATGCCTAACACCTCTCACACTGTAACGATGAACCCAGCTGTTTCTGGAATGGGTCTCTTGTGATAGTATCAGATTTTCTTCATTTCCCTTGAAACCTCTGTCCACGATGAAATGACAATCATCCACTGGATATTGACTTTCGTAAAGCTAATGTATCAGGGGATCCACAAATTTGTAAATGGTGGCTGTATCAGGATCTCTTGTCTGCATCAGAACAGCTGCAACACTTAGAGGGGCTAATTATGGATTAATTAATTGGTCCTCTGGTAGAGCCCACCGCTCATGGATAGCTTAAATATACAAGTTTCAGCGAACCAGTGATGCGGATGCTGGAGCAGGCCTGGCGTTAAAATTTTCAATGATTACAAGCGTCTTCAGCATCAACTCGGCAAATATAATTAGACTCTAATAGAAGCTTCCCTTTTCCGATTTTCGTGGTTAATTACTATTTTTTAACCACCGAAACTGCACACCTAAGGCACTGATAACACCGAACACATGTCCCATTCTTGATTTCCAAGACTGTGCATTTTAAATGTAACACATTGACATTCCTAAGACTGCTAAATTTAGCACGTTCACCCTCGAGCCCAAGTCGATTATCGAAGGCGACTTTGGGGAAAAACATTACACACAGTGGGCAGGAAGTAGCAGTCATGTATATTTCTTGATAGTGAGCATTCGTTCGAAGTGATTCACTGTAAGGACCTAGGAGTTTAAGGCGTGCACATTTTAGTATCATTGTCTGTTGAAACACTATTACTGTAACTCACCTCCACCACTTTCTAAGTTTAGATAACCACTTTCATTGCAATGCCACCGAAATAAATGAGCTGTAGGCTGTCAGGCGGTTGTGGGCAACGTGGACACAGCTCTTTCCTACAAACCCAAACCGACCACGATTTCTAATGGTTTGCACAGTTGAACACTTAAAGTGTACAAGGGATTACTGTACATCTAAAAGCAGTCGCTGAACGTGATTTGGCAGGCACATTGGCACGAGGAAAGAGTATGCGAGATTTCGCACAATAGAGAACATCGTTTTCGATAGTTCCTGGGAATTCAGTCATAGGAGCGTTTGAAGTATACGATTGTAATGCTGAAGGCAATCGATACCATGGATTTAAGACGTTGAGACAATTGCCTTGTTCCACGGTCGTAGACCAAAACAAGGAAGAAGCAAACGGAAGTAGAACAAATTAAACAACTCTTTGATTACTTAAATAGGGCTATTAGGCACCTTGAAACAGAGTTGCGCCTAAATGAACATTGGCACATTTAGTACATGCGGATCTTCCGAATGGAAGTTAGAGGTGTTGACTGAGTGCCTTGCATTGGACTGACTTGGCGTCCATGTATGGAGCAACCACGTAGTCTGAGGTTATCGTTTGCGTTTCCGTGGCATTCGCACCATCCGAGTCACCCAAACAGGACGTTGAGGTGACTCATTGGGGGCGGCCAATGCCCTATTTGGCCCCTACGCGCCGAATTCATTCAAATCGGGCACCAAGATGGAGCTGCACATAGTTATGAATTTCGTTTTGGCAAAGCGCTTTAGGTTAGCATCAAATGGGACGAAAAGTCGTTGGCGCCGCTATCCCGGAATGGCTTGAATGGTGTCAGTAGTGGACATGACATGGCCTTCTATCCCTCGCCATGGAAACTGACTGTTTGTGTAGAGTGGACACTACACAGCCACTGTTATTGCAATTTAATGACACTCCGGAAACTTTTGAGACAAAGGGGAACTTGCTGAGAGTCACGTGAACCCTAGGTAGTTAAGTGCGTTGGTGTACCTACTCTGCCTGAATGTTCACAGGAAATAACGGAAACTTGAAGGACAGTCAGAAACCAGCACGACAAATTCCAAGAACCGATGGCGAATTTAAAAGTTGGTTGTTGAGGTTTTCGTGGTAGTTTCCACCATCAACTCGATTCAGCTCGCCCACCATTACGCTTGGGAGTGGTTGCGTCAAGAACCCAACCGCAGAGCTCGTAAACGACCTTACACATTGTCATAATGTTGGAAAAAGTCGGAACACCAATTGTTTATCTTAACGACAGCTACAAATTATGTCACTAGTAAGCCATGGCCGACAGCGCAAACACACGTTTTGCCAGACATCACATCAAAGTTTGTGATCAGTTCAGAGGTCGCGGCACATCGGACGGATATCCAGGAGTTTTCCAACGTTTATCCAAAGAAATCTGGTACAAATCTACTTTGGTAACCTAACAAACAGCCCTACCAATAGACCAACTGTCGGTTCAAGGTGACCGCCTGCAAACACGCATTAAAAGGCACGATACATCAAGCCTTTACGGAGCAATAGCAAGGTTGAATTCATGAGGGTTTCTGTGTGCCTCCAGCTGGGATTTGCCCTGACTGTTTTAAGAACATTTTTAACCAGCATGGCATAACAGCCAAGCAAAAATGGGTCAGGCTCTCGGAAACAAGCAAGGTACGCGCAACCTGCTGGCCCTAGAAATGCGGATGCGCTTGATGACTCACCCCTCGAAAAAATCGCCATTTTACGCAAACTGCGTCGTAAACATTGACTGAGGCCGCAGTGCACACGTGTCTCTTCGGGATACTTGCACCGGAACAAATTTAGGCTGCCTTGATACCATGGTTTGCTGACGTTCGAGTATAACTGGAAAGTGCCACGTGGATACAGCTTTGATACTTACACGTGCAGTTACTCATCCGCGTGGCGCAAACACAGATGGATCTGTCTGATACTGAGTTCACGCGTAGAACACGCAACGACCAAACTCAATCATGCTCACGTACAAAAAACCATGTCAAGGAAGCCTAAAGTGGTCGGACCATTACCGGTTTCTCGCATCTTGGGCTTAGAGCTTTGCCTGATTCCTCTTGTATGACGCATGCACAGCAAAACAAGCATGACCACAGAGGCAAAGCTGTTTCATGCTGCTACTCAATCTCAGCTCATTAAAACACAGAAAAAAGCGACGCCTAGGCTTTGATTTACAGCCAGTTCTTGGCTAAGTCCACAAATAAAGCCAAATACATTGTAGATTCAGTAAAACGATGGCAAATGCCCCACCAGGAGTCAGTTTTTCAGCTACGGTTTCGGTATATATTCAGTAGGAGTTAAGACCCTCTTCATGGTCACAGCATGCGAATGACAACGGAACAAAGTCACGAAAACTGCCGTTCTCCCTCAAGTACTTTTCCCACATACTGCAATCTCAGTTTAAATTATTCACATCTTGAAAGTAAACCACTTGAATTCGATTGACAAGTAAGATGTGGCCGACAGGGAAAAGGCGGAGTCTAGCCAATCGGAAAAAAGGATTTATTCATAGAGCTCCATGTCTGACAACGTTGACGGTTAGAAGCACTCATCGTAAAGGGCAAACTGACCGAAACAATACTGAATCTATCCCATACCTGATTTCCAATTTTATTTTCATTCATTAAGAGGCGGCGTAGATAATACATCAGAACGCCCTGAACAAACACCCAATGGCATTACGGCAGCTGCCAATAGAAACGTGACCTACCAGCTCGTTGCTACGTTAGCAAGTGCATTTACTGTTACCAGTTAAACAAGTAACGCCACAATTGCAACTAAAACAAGGCCAAATTAAAGTCTTTCAGCAGAACGCTTTTCGTGTTTACCAATATATTGCGTGAGTACACGGTGGATAGTAACAGGCACGAAATAAAAGGCCAGGCAGATCACGGGATTTTCAAATGCGGATCGATGGCGACGATCCGAGAGCGAAAAAATGCAGTAGCACTACCGCCACAGAAGAAAACACCTACGTGAAAGGTCGGTAAAGGGTGGGAGGCGGGAGGAGGGGCCTTACTTGAGTGCTAGGGGATTAGCTTTTCCTTCGGTTGTTCAGTTGTTAAATAAGCACAACTAGGAGCGCTGCAGTTCCACTGTTGAGAAATAAAAGGGCCTAGGGCCAATGTCTTTGACCGCTTCCCTAGGGTGAGGCAGCACACAGCAAAACAGGTAAAAGCACAACTGGTAGATTTAGAGGCGCTCTATCGCGAAGGAAATTGTTAGAAATATGCGCATTGAAGTACTTGGAGATACGTTACTGAACTGAGGCAGTGGCAAATGAAAAAAAGCAGCGACATCTTGGACTGCGATGTTTGCGTAGAGGGTGTTGCTGGGTCAAAGTGGGACAAAGACTCGCATCCAGGTGGCTTAGCGACCGCAGTCGGAGCACATGATCTGGTCTTCATTGGTCAGGAAGCCCCGGCCTACGAGGTTACAGCTGCACTTGCTGCACGTGAAGCACTCCGAATGCCAATGACGATCCTCAAACGAAATAAACTTGCAGCCACCGAAACCTGTTTAAAGGGGAAAAGGAGAAGCCTCGTATCGAAAGCGACTCAAAGCACTTGACGTAAAATCAACGCGTTTAAAAAGACGATTTCGAAACGTGGTTTTATTCTGAGCTTCAAGATCAATGAAGTTCTCAGAACGAACACGCATGTCCTTGAAAAACGACACAGAGGTAGTAGATAACGATTGACTAGTAAATAAATCGATGTAAAATCAATAACCGGAACCCGAAAGTGTAAGGAACTAACTGTTCGACTAAGTGTCACCTGTAGTCCCGGATTTTCAATACCGAAATATACAAATCTTTATGCGTGCTGATCGCTGCCCATGCTTTTGATTTACTGATCAATCCCTTTTATGGCCTTTTATAATTCCTAAGTATCCCCTTTTACGAGTGCTCCATTTGGAGCCTGGATTGTGACATCGCATTTGGTTGTTTACTCATTATTCGTTGTACGTCTACGTGTATTGAACCACGCATTCACTTATATGCACAGAACTGAAATAGAAGCGTTTTGACTACCTTTGACATCTCGGAACCGTCATCTAGTAAACTAAGAAAAGTTTATACCTCGCCTTTGAATATGTTTGAACTGCGCATGGCGACAGGGTGCGATTTAGTGACATTAGATCCGAGGAGTGGAGACCAAACCGCCGTAAATTAGGCACTAATTCAATTACACTAATAACTGACCGAATAGTTCGTCAAAAGATCAACTTTACAACCGTGCAATCAACAGCTTAAATTGCTTTGCACGTTGGTGCCGGAGTTGCACAACTGAGATCAACAAAACACATGACCGCTATTAGAAGCGGTAGGATGAAAAATGAGTCCAGACGCATAATCTTGCAACGCACAAACGACTGATAAGGAAGGAGGACTCACCGGTGATTGGTTTGGAGCATTTGGTACACTTCTTGGCGAAAAGCTCCCCGTAGCAATCAGCGCAATAAGGCTGTTCATCCTTGGAGGTGAACTTGAGTCCAGCAAGTTGTTTGCCACAACTTGTGCATGTGAAACACTCCTTGTGCCAAGGGTTTGCCTTGTAAGTTACGCCACCACGACGAATAACTTCCGAGCACTTGGTGCAACGCTGCGCGTAATTGGCTTCGTAGCAGGGCACACAGACGACCTGGTTCTCGCGAGGGATGAAGCTCTTGGCGCCAATGGGCTTTTTGCACACAACACAGACGAAGCAGTCCTCGTGCCACTGCTGGCCTCGGTACTCGTACTTGCGCATGCCTGCCTTGAAGACGCCCTGGCAACCATCACAGCGTGCGGCAAAACGGTCATCGTGGCAATCAGAACAGTATAGTTGGTCTTCCTTTGTGGCGAAGGGGCGATCAGCGAGAGAGGCGTCACAAACTGAGCACTTGAAGCACTTTTCGTGCCAGTGACGCTCCTTGAAGGAGAGGTCCTGAAAACGGAAGAAAACACAGAGACATAGGATGTGCAATGACAGTGGAAATGACAAAGGCCAGGCTCGACTCAACCTAAACTCGTGCACACAATTGAGTCAGGAAGGGCAATACTTGGTTGTATAACCAACGCAAACAACAGAGACCGTGCTTCAATTTGGGATCACTCTAACACGCACGCACACACACACGACAACTAGCAGAGTAGCCGGGAAAAGGGGCGGAGCATGAACTAGGGGAGCAACTCACGGAGGGCTTTGCCGGAGCCAAGGCTAGGTGTTTCTACAGGGGGCCAAAACGAAGGCACGATCCAGGAACTTGCTTGGACTGCTTGGCTTGCACCAAAAACAAGTCAAAAGAAGCACCTACAAACATGTATGCACGGCAAAAGTGCATACAAACGCGTTTATGCCTGTTTCTTCGAATTACAGTAATTGGCTGCGTTTGGGTGTCGGGCGAAGTAGGCTTGAGTTACTCCCAGAGGTCACGCGAACCCCTTCCTTATATTTAAAACGTCCGTGCACCAGATTGCCCTTAAGTAGTGATATTTTGACCGACATAGTCAGAATATTCGGACGCAATCGTCTTGTATAATGTTTTTCTAGTCGGCACACGAACTGAGGGAAAAATAGGATCCAAGTGGAGGATGCTCTTCGTGACTCGGTTGTTATGGACAACATATGAGGCGACGACGACGGCGCACATGTGCTTTCCGCGTCATCGCACAGGAGTGCCTGTGGACGACTGAACAGGCTAGACGCAAGCAACACAATGGGAGAAGATGAACGGGACTCACCGGAGAGGACTGGGAAAACAGATGAAGATTTTATACGCACCATATTGATCGATGCCAAGCAATGCATTCGCAGATTAAATGATAGGCAAGAGGCGAGGAAGAACTCAAAGGGGATATTAGGTCTATTGAATTTACCAATAATTATGGCTGTACCAAGGCAACACATGTGCACCAACCCACTCACCTTGGAGTCGCAGCCAATCTTTTCCTTGCACTGCTCACATGTGTTGGCGAATTTAGCCTCGTAGCAGGCCAGGCAATGCGGCTCCTCATCTCGGAGGATGTAGCGCTGGCCGGTTAGGGAGGCGTCACAGCTGCAGCAGGCGAAGTGACTCGTGTGGTGCTCCTGATCCATAGCGCGGGTATACTCTTCTGAGAAAATAAGCTAGAAAGAAGGAGAAAGGCAGTGAGCCTGACTTTATTGCTTTAAGCCCGTGAGCAAGAAGTCTACACTTAATAATAGATTATCATTCTGACGAAAAACATGCAGTTACAATACCGAGTAGATAACGCGGCCTTAAAAACAGCACCCATTTCGTCAATAACTTCTGCGACAGATAGCGGGTTCTTGAACAGGCACACAAGTATGGGGAAACCGAGCTAACATCAGTCAGAAATGGCAGTGTTATATGGGCTGGTACACGCGGCCGTTTGCCGACAATGCCACAACACACCAGAAGCGATACACTAGCGCTTGCCTTTAATTGGGATGTTGACAATCTGCTAAATGTAGAATGCCTATAGAGCCACTGCAATGCAAACAGGTGTCAACATGAATAGAATATAAGGTGATGAAGTGTCGGAGAGGATTTTTGCCGTCAGGTCGACAAGCCCCTCGAAAGCGAGATAAGTAAACTTGTGGTAAAATCAGCCAATCGACTTACATCAAACGTCTAGCAATTCCAAATGCACGGCTGCATCTACCCATTATTAAAAAAATAAATTGCTTGATATCGCGTAAACAATCTCTGATGAGCGTGGTTCTCATAGTAGTAGCCTAAACTGCACATAAACAAGATGGGTAAGCAAGAAATGAGACGACACGTGCGCAGTAAGTAGCCGCGGATTTTCAGAGTCAACGTCTCATGTAATTTTAAAGTGTGACCGTCTGCTAAGAGCGAGGGTAAAACTTGTGCAGCTGCGGTTAAAGCATTTGCACAGAGGACTGGTAAGGCATGCTAATACTAGCTTACGTGGTACAGGTGAAAAGTTGCAAGATTATTCACGAGCACAATTAACGTCAACGGATGGAGGAAGCGAGAATGGAGAACGTGAATATCCTCGCACAAACGCACGTCTATGCAAAGTCACTGAGGTGGAAGCAGCAGTAGCGGCAGAAGACGGAACGCACACGCACGAAGACGCTTCCTAATGGGCAAATTGGTTTGTCCAATCACGGGGACCGGCACGGTGGGCAGCAGAAATCAATGGAAAAACTTGCGCAGTGTCGGGACCGTCGGCTAAACTCGCAATGACGCATCCAAAATAGGCACACAACGCACGCGCGCACGCACGCGACCGTCCCTACACGTGCGGTCACTGTGATTGGTCCGCCAGGTGAATACTAGTCATGCGCCTTGGCAGCCAGTAGTAACATGGCGCGAGGACAGCCAATGAGAAGAGGCTGCGATAGGAGCGTGCACACCTACTACTTAATTGCCGCGTGTGCAGAATGATGCAAAACAAAAGTTTCAGGTAGGCTGGGGTTGCGCTTCGCTACGCACTTGTTACGCGTCGAAATAGATTTTGCTAGTTCCTAGGCGCATAAAAGCGTGAGAATTGCAGGGACAAGGTGAAATCAACAGATGAGCGCATGGTTTTACAAAAAAGGCCTTCCGATGCCATGGAAACATGGAGCCACATTTACACGTCATTCAGCTAAACATCTTTCGAGACCAGGTAGACCTTGAAAGGTGGTAAAAAGGAACAATCTGTGGCGTAAATCGAAGGGATGCGCAGATGATTACCCGACGAGAAATAGGTTTCGGAAAACTAGAAAAGCAAACTCTGACGCGAAGTGTATCTTGCGACGGGAAAGATGGCGACAATGAAAGTCGTTTGATGTCACGAGACTACAGAAAGAGAGATTGGCCGAAATTGACTGTGGTCAAAACGGGGCGAGTCAGCACTGCCTCGTACCTAGAAGGGTCTTTTACTGCGACCGCATACCTAAATGCAAGCACTTTCAACAACTAAAAAATCGGCGAGTGGAAGAAATTTGACCAAATTTGGCCAAGAAAAGGGGCTCCATGTTCCAATGGCTAAGCACAAGGCAATAACTTTTTGGCAGGCACTCAGCAACAATGTAGCAATGATACATTCAGCACGTACTTCTGATCCTAGATGCAAAAATTTAGCGCATTTTTCATCATACGGGAGGAATACAGAGCTTACCACGAAGTCCAGCAAATCTGTGACGAAAATGTTAACGTGAGTACAAAACTTACCTGCTAAGACCATGACGAAAGCATTATAAAACATTAAATAGTAGTAATTCGATTAATACATTTGAATTACTTACATGATCACAAGTAGCGCACCGTGGTCGGATCATCTGGCCGTAGTGACGGAGGCAATATGGCTTGCCGTTAAGCCAACCGTAGGCAAAGTCAACAAGGTGGTCTGAACAATTAGAACACCGGAAACAACGCGGATGCCAGGCGGGTATTTGGTCGCTATCAACGGCATCTGTTAGACGGTGTTCGGCGCGGACACGGACACAGAAATCGCGGTAGCCAATATTCTCAGAGCACTCTGTGCAGGTCTACAACACGGTTAAGAAAGGTGCTGCTATTAGATAATTAGTAGCACTTATTTAGGAATAACCCACAAAGCAAAATGGTGCGAGCCAGGTGTGGGTGATGATCAGGCCGAAAAACCTAGCAGAGTTGAATCAATAGTGAAACTGCTGGAAAAAATTGGAAGCAACCGAGGTCAAACACCGAAATTAGCAAATTAAGACAAGCGGCGGATAAATTAAAAAGATTCAACTGGCCTGACCGCACATACAGAGAAATAAATGACTGGAATAAATGTGCAGTAAAATTGTGGTAGAGCTACGGCAGTTAAGCATATGCTGCAAGTATACCTGGCTATAGATGAACTCGAGACCCAGAAAATAGGCATGGGTTTAGATAATGGTTATGAATTGCATGGTTCACTGAATTTCGACGCTTGGACAGAGTCTAAAGTAAAAAACATTTACCTAATGAGTAAGACACAACCAGCACAGGTTAACGAAGTCCAGCTTTGACAAAAATGATTTTGTGCAAGGATAAGTAAAGCTAAGGGAGCGACTGTAACAAAATTAAAAGAAAGCAAGGCTCACGATGCCGCTTTTGTCTGCAACGCGTTCAACTCGGCCTAAACCGAAATCGCGGCGGTTACGAGAGTTCTGAAATCTCGTGGCCTCACGGACTTCGCCGTCAAGGTTAGTGGGGGCACCGGAAGCAGGAAGGTTAAGTTTTGAGGTTTTGAGAGAAACAGCAGGCTCACGGTCCTGTGGGGGGATCTGACGACGAATGCGTTTTAGACGAGCTTCTGCATTGGTCTTCCCACGGGGAACCTCAGTTGAAGGAAGACTAGCGAGGAAAGCGTCAATCTAGAAGCAGTGAAAGGGTTCATGCAGGTTAAGCATGATGGCGAGACGCCGGTAGTAGCTTGCGCGGACCATTGGGTGTGGCACGCGTGCTGACAATTTATGTGAAAACAGAGATATGACAACTAAGATGTGCCATCATGATTGCACAATGCAAAAATTTTGTGCAGGTACTAGATTTTCGGAGAATCACTGTAGATGTAGAGAACTGAAGTTTTTTTACGTATAATAAAGGTTAACGTTGCAAAAAAGTGTTCTTTGTTATATTGGGCGAATATTAAAGAACCGGCAAAAAGGATAGACAGCCTAGCCGGAAAATCAATAACAAAAGCAAAGTTAGACGAGAACGTAGGGTTAAAAGGGTCTACTTGCAAAGTAGCTGGGATATATCGAGTCACAAAAAAATAACTGCGAGGGTTGCGACAATGTTATACATGGTGCATGTTTTGAGGGTTGCAGTTTACTTTGTACAAGAAATCAAATTCTGAGACACTGAAATAAGTAGTCTCAATTAATTTCATTAGCGTGATGAGCTGAAAGACACGTTTGACAAGCTTTGCACCAAGGCAAATAATCCCAGCAGATCTGTTTGCTTAATTTGACGACATGATCGGTTCTCAACTAAATAAAATTGTGTTAAATTAATAGCCTACTACTTCAAAATAAACAAGACCCTCTCAAAATATTTACGTTCAAAAACCCAATGCAATGCCGACATTGAGAGTTATCAACGATTTTACCCCAACACATGTAAAACATCACCCATGCAAGGAATAAAATAGCTGGGGGCACAATTCCTGGATAACAGTAGGTGAAATCACGTTGAAGAAATACACATATCTGCATTTAAGCACGCAAAAGCCATCACACAAGCCTTCTACCTACGACAAGTATTAATCGCCTATTTTGTACAAAAAATGGCATTCCAACAAAAACTTAGAAATACCTGATAACAAAGTTAATCAATGAAAATTAAATTACGTCTGTTGGAAGAACGCCGATTGGGAGCCAAGTCAGCCCATTCTCCTTTGCAGTAATTTGGGCTGTGTTATAGGCACTGAGCAAATTTGCATCAGCTAGTTGTAGATCGGCTACAAATGTGTCCTTCGATGAATCAGTAACATCGTGCTTGTCATAAAAACAGTGGCAGTTGGTACATGTAGCTCTAAGTAAAAGTTAAAATGCAAGAACCATGACATTACCTCCACGAATGAAGCTTAAATCCAGGACACTCAGATGCACATGTCAAACAGGCGCTCCCAACATCCTGCTGAAGGGCCATTTATGCGACTAAATAGAATCTTAGAGCAGACAAACGTAGGCACAGGGAGCGACGGGTTGACAAGCGTTTAAACACAACGAAACGGTATCCAGATTAAAGACCCAGATGCGAATAAACAAATGCTGCATTATTAAATGTAAAATATTTTGAATCTACGATAAGTTATCGCTCATATTCATCACTAAATTTTAAGCTCAAAATAGTCTTAAAAATAAAAAAATTAAATCTTTTTCTTTCTACAAATCCCAAAGGGAATAAGTTCAAGTTCTATTGAATGCTATTTTGACAATTATTAAAGGTTAATAGCTCCTGTAATACAAACTTACGTCAAAAAAACTAAGCAAAAGTTCTACAAGAAAACTGGTAATTCGCTATTGAACACTAGATAAGAAAACATCGGATTACTTGTGTGATTTTCAGACATGTTTTTGCGTTCATTGAAATGTTATCACAAACACTTAAGAGAACCTAATAACCTTTTCCATAGTAAACCAATAGGTTATGGAGATTCCCTGTAACAAGCTTAAAAATTCAAATTAATTTTTTTCGACTAATTGTTATTAAAATGCTTTGTTTTCTTTGAAAACTCTATTAAGGGCTGTAAAAACGCATTTTTCAAACAATTTAACAAGATTGGCTTAAGAATAAATTAGGTTGGCGTCAGCGCATGTTTCTGAAATTGCTCTATGGAACGATTACGATACGCTAAAAGAACGGATATCCTGAAGTGCAGCAAGTATACACTTGACCAAACACTGCAGTTATTTTTTGCGATGCTGATCCTGAAACTTAGATTATGCTTACATATACCCCTGACGTAGTCATGACAACAAGGCGAAAAAAATTCCTTGCATTTTTAGTTGCCTCAAATTCATAATAAATTAAAGGATTATTGAGGTAATTTTTAAGTCTGTGCTATCGAGTTCCAAGTCTATTTTTGATTCATTTTGCCAAGGAAAAGGCACCAAAATATTGGTTTTACAAACTGAAGCATGAGTTTGGCTTCGAAGAAATCCTCGCAATTTTTCCTTTCAAAATAGGAACAGCCATAAACTGAATAACTTAAAAAAAATACAAACCTTTTTTTTTATAAAAGCGATTTACAATGAGATGAAGCAACATCCATTTGCTACGCAAAGTAGTCTTGCTACCCCTCGCTCACTGTTGCTAGTAAGATTCAGCAGACAACTGTACAAGGCTTTTTTACTGGCACATCTTAAGAAAATTTTTCACATTTTAAGTTCTGTTTTATTTATAAAAACGGAAAATAAAACTATGACTTTAGGAAAAGTTTCAAAAAAAACATTAAGCTTTAGTTTTGGTTTTAAGAACCATGGTTTTGAGGTTTATGTTCTTGATATTTCTAAAAAAGGAAACTTATTCTAACAAGCTTTACAGGATCATTCAGTAGGCAATTGCATATTTTAATTCTAAAGGTTCATTATTTTTAAGTAGGTTTTATTATTGCGTTGCCAAAGAAATGTAGTTTCGGGATATGCTGGCAAAAATTATCTATGAGGTTCTCAAAAAGTGTGCGTTAAGTAAAAAATGATTAGGTACTTTCAATGACTTGTATTTGGTTCTGTTATGTTAACTATTCACTTTCCACAGTATATTTCGAAAAGAACAAAAAGCAAACATTGATCTGATATGAAGCTATATAACGGTTGATATAATTCTATGAAGTGCTCTTATTATGATTACAGGTAAGCATACAGAGAGTAGTTGAAAAAAATGTCACACCATATACTGCAAACTCCAGATGTGTTGCCCCTCACGAAACTAAGTTCAGGTTTCGTGCAGAGATATTTTTACTTCCAAGCAAAATACCGAGAGACACGTTTAAGTATGTAGATTTGGTTATGGTATGTTTGGCCCTGAGTGCGGTTAAGGTAAATGACCCATCTGAATGCAAAAAAAACAATATGTAAACGGATGGTCTATTTAAATACAAATGGTGTACATAAACACAAATATGGTCTAAGAAAATCGAAAACTTTAAAATCCAGTAAACTTTAAAAATACAGATTCCATGACAGCACTTTATCGCAGTGACAAGTTACTAAAATATACGTCCTTTTTTAAAACAATATTTAGATGTCTTAATTTTTTGCTGCCTGATTCTTTCCCTTGATTATATTTATTAACAGAAGCAAATAAAAGTTACCGCAGTGTGTCAATACACTGTCCTTCTAGATAACTTAATTCCCGTGCACTGTCCTCAAATTTTTTCCTGGTCTTTATGTCAAAATATTGATCTTTTCTAATAATTAAAATTTCTAATAATGCAACAAGTAATTTCTTTCAATGACTAACCAAAAAACGTTAATTTGTAAATTTGATGGATTTGTAGCGGGCCGCGGTGCGCTTTTGAAAACCATACTAGGCTCGACAATTTACGTTGACACGGCCCGACCGAAAGAATAATGAAAAAATGATGCAGGTGGTACGTAGCTCAACCTCTTTATTATAGCGGTAGCGGAGTGTGTGTTAAGGAAAAAGAGTGCGTCTATATAGCTTCGCTAAGCATCGATCTCTGCACGCACGTAGTTGCGTGAAATGCGTTCACAAAAATCGATTGAATCATGTTCGCTTACGCTTGCTTACTTCGTTCGCTCACGATTGCTAATTGCGCTCGCTTGCTGCTCGCCACAGATTTACTACCCTACTTAGAGTTGTTAGTGCCAAAGTATTTGTATTAAAAACAAATTGCTTGTTGAAGCATTAAAGCTAATGTCATCCTAAATTGTGTGTCTGCTTTGTTTTCATAAAAACAATTTGTCATTCATGAGTGCCTACGAGAATTTGTTAATCTTGTAATGACTTCAGGTGTTGCAATATTTGTCATGTAAATTTACATTTATGCATTGTTTCGATTCTGGTTCCCACTGTTAAATTTACAATCGGTGCTTATGATAAATGCTTTGTGAATTTGCTTACCGAAATAAATATGCTTGAGCATTGTCTGCAATTTCGATTTTTCATTTCTATGCGCGTTCATTGTGCCACATTTTGCTTATTAATACAGGTGATGCTTCTATGAAGACGGTAATTTTCTTCATGGAAGCAACTCTTATACTTTTATTACTCCGTGAAAAGTTGTTTAAGTAATTATGTTATCTCATTCTTCATATTGACGATTATAAAACAGAGGTAATCACACTATTGGTTGATAATTATTTAGTGGCACTGTAGAAAGTGATAGCTTTTAGGTTTGTTCGTTCACCCGTCATTATTTGTTGACCTTCTTCAAACTTATTCTTTTCACTTTTATTTTTTTTCTAGGGCACGAGTAATTAATATTTTTGACAAATTGCAAATGTATGAGACTACTGTCAATGTACCAAGTGACTTCGAAAATATTAAACTTTTATGTGAATATATTGAGCTTATTTACGAAGTCGAAGCTAGGCCTAAGTCTGGCAGCACTGACGTTGTGACAATAAGAGCGTCGTCAAGTGATGAAATGGAAAATGCACAAAATCTCGCTCTTACTTTCATTGGCCCGGAATCAAGCACCATTCGAGAATTGCCTCTTAATATTTTGGTTATTTGCACGATGCCTTCTGTTCGGCGGTATCTTGCCAAACAGCTTAAACTTGTCTTAACGGTTCGGGGTCTTTCTGCGCTTCTCATCCGAGGCTCCAACGCTAGTTCGCTCATCTTGAATAGCGCTTTAAACAGGTTGATGTCCGCATCGACTTCTGCGAATGCAACAAAGCTAATGAAATTGCAAGGATTATGTAAAAACCTTGGCATCGATCTGAATCAAATTGATTCTGGCAGCGCGGAAGTTAAATCAGGTTTCTACGATTTCCTTCTTGAAATTGAAAAATTGGCTAGAAGCAAGAACTCCATCATTTATCCTACACCTATTGGTCCGAATAGCTGCGACCCCGCTTTTATTGAAGTATTCAAGTACTCTAGATGTACGTTGATTAATGGCAGTATATGCCAGCGAAACCGCCCTCTTTCACGATGTTTGCTCTACTTATAGCTCCTCCCACGACAACTGCGTCCATTCCACCTCCGCCAGATCAGCCCATTCCGGTGTATAGAGGTGAGCGCTGGATATGTATTATGTGGGTTCCCATACACTAAAGCTTGCGCATTAACATTTCCTGACTTCCTTTGTCAGTCCTACGTTTTTGTATTATTATCAACTGCATGCGCTGTGTACGTTAATATCCACCGTAATCTGATAGTGCTTTTGTATTATTTTTCACAATTTTTAGGGGTGTTCACTTTTAATTGAGCCTATAACCTGAAGTGGTCATTTTTACGTGCCTTTTACGCTTGCGGTGTCCATGTTACTGCTTTTTAAGCCGGTTTAAGTCTCGTGTTTGTTTGTCCTACGTCGGGCAGTGCCCTGCTTTTCAGCATTTTCTAATCGCGTTGGAGCTAATAGGGTTTCTCATCAACCTAACTCGAAACAACTCATTAAACTGTGCTGTTTTTCATTTAATCTTTTTCGTGTGATCGAGATATAAGGGATAACGGTTTTGTAGCAGCAACAAATGTACGGTACATATGCTCCATTTTTCTCGTCATCCCGGACTGTGCCTCAATGCTGGATTGAGTCGTGATTATTGACTGCAGATTATGATGCACCGCAGTTTTTTATCTGTCCGCTTTCAATCACTCACTTTCCCTCTTTGAATCTTGCATTGTTTAATCTGTTTGATGGCCTCATGTGGAATCGTCAACAAGCCAGAGGTTCAACGCGGATTGATTTGAACTTTCTCATCTAGTTGTTCTCCGTCTTTCATCCAACCATGGACCTTTTTCCCTAGCAACACTCGAGTCGAAATATAGAACTCAAGGGGAATCTTTTAATTTATGACGCTGGTACCGCTGCTTGCTGCTCAAGATTAAGGCTTCACATGAACTCACACCCTAACCGGCCTAACCCGCTTTCAACCAATCTACCTGCTGCTGATATCTTTAAACCTTGAAAAGCGGGTGGCAGTTGGGTATCCCTCGGAAGAACTGCGATGCTCAAGACGTCAAAACAGACACCGGCTGACTTAATGTCTTGTGCTCCTAACACTTTTCATTCAACTAACGCTACAAGCTCTATCCGCTTACCTCACCTCAAGTCTCGAATTTTTCTGCTAAACAATTTTCCTATGGATCAGCCGCGAGCAAGGCGCGGAAGCCAACACATAGCACTGGTGGAGCTCTGAGTAAAGCCGAAGCAAGACGTGCGAGGAAGCTGCGAAAACAACAACAGCGTAAAGTCAATGAAGGACTTTTGGATCTGTCTACTCAGAAGCAGTTTGTGCCTCATGAGGATGGCGACTTGACTAAGCCGCCTCCCTTTGGCCCTCGGAAAGGTAAGTTTTGCTTTTTTCAAATTGCCCTGTTGTGGTTCCAGGGCGAACGCACCAATTTGCAATTTTCAGTTCTCCGTTGTTTTTCACGTCGTGATTTATTTGATGGGCGTGCTGAGATTCATCTTCGCGCTCAACCTTAGAAGAAAAGATGACGGGAGGTTTCTCTGAAATGTGGGTATCCCACTAGTCAACAGCGTCATTTACGGCAGTTACAATCCCATGTGTATTTGCTCAGGCGACATTGTGGACATCAGTGTTGGTCATTTATCCAGCTAATGCAGTTTCCTTCACTCATTCATCGCCAGGAATTGCACATTTCCTTCAAGATTATAACTTAATAGTTTGTTATTGTGGCACGTGGTTGCCGGTGTCATGAGCCCATTGTATCGCCTTTTGTCTTGCTTTCGGAAAAGTTTAAAAAAGACATTTTCTCGAGTCGACGGCATTGCATTTATGCCATCGTTACACCGGTCCCGAAGACACTATGTTCCAGTAGGAAGAAGTTCCCATGGGATATCTGCGAAATTGGTGCCGGGGTACTAGAAACCCTCATATTAACCCCCGAAATTGCGTTGTCTTGTATCATGACAGTTAAACAATGGTATTTTTGCCTATTACGCTCGTAGCAAATTTCCATTGTAGCAACCACTTGACATCGGTAATTTTTGTTAATACTTTGAGGTTTTTCAAGTTGCTGTTAGGTGTGTGACTTGAGTTGTACAGGTTTTTTAGTAAACTTTTTTAGAGGACAACAAATTTTATGTTGGAAATATTTCCATTCGTTTTCTATGACCTCGCGTCATCTGCCGATTCAAGTGTGAATGCTGTCGCAAAGTAAGTTTTGCAGTCGTCGAGGCAATTAAGTCATCGACGATTTCACGCATGTTTTCCAGCGTTTTGAACTGTCTGTCCACTAAGGCGTAATGCATTGACCAGAACAAATGGTAGCCGGATGGGGCCAAGTATGTGGAAGAACTTCCCATCCCAGCTTCAAGAGGGTCTTCTGAGTCGTGCGAGCAGCGTGAGGTCGAGCGTTGTCAAGCAGCAGTTTGTTAAATTTTTGGCTGCAGCGGTCCTCAATCACACTGTCTGACCAGCTTCCGGGAGTTCGCAATTAAATACACCCTTCATGTCTCACCAGATACACAGGATTTACCCACGACGTTTCACGTTCGAGATTCTCACAAAAATATACTCTTCATCACCCGTCACAATTTTTCACAAGAAGTTCCTTTTTGTTGTCGGCAGGCAAACAGTGAAGGGTATGTGTCCATACGTTAACCTAGATTGTGTTCGGTCAACACGTGTAGGGGACCTAATTTCCGAGTTGTTGAATACTTTTCAACTTGGTGAACACGATTAGCAATGGCTGTTTGGGTGACTGCCAACTGACCTGGAGGCTCTTTTTGCGTCTGCGTTGAATATTCATTCATTCGATCTCGCAATTCCTCATCTTCAAGCTTTTGAGGCTGTGCGAGACGCGGCTGGTCACCAAGATCGAAATCACCACTTCTAAAACGTTTATGCCAATAATTGTGCGATTCATAAGACGCAATGTCGGTACGAAGAACATTACAAATTGGTTTCTGTGCTTTAAAAGAATTTTTCTTTGTTGAGATTCGTTTATAATGCCGTGCCATCGAATGTGCTGTTTATCAGTTGCCATCGTAAACTGAGAGGTTATGCAACTCACGTAGACTTGTCGTTCGGTGTTCCTTTTAAAACCACAACAGACCGCGAAAATATTTTTGTTTCAAGTATAATTTTAAGCTCATAGAAAAAATTCATAAAAATTTATTCACACCTAAAATCTCAGATTCCGGTAGATGATTGGTTTGAGGCATTTACCGATCCGTGTCTCCTTCCTAACTTCCACTGTCGAGGTCAGCCGTATTGATTCAATTTTGGCCTTGACTGCGTCACTGCGGTAACCATTTGCATTTACCTTTTAGCACCTCGATCGGCTTCCCAGCCGGCTGTTAACCAAAGTTCCACATTGAACCATAACCCCCCGGTGAATACAGGTAGTCGACTTCCGGCTTTCAGTCTACTGCTTTTCATGACGTCCAATGTCACTGTTGTCCTCTACCATTGCACTAAACTTACTTCTTCATGGTATTGGTTAAATGCGAAACGAAATTCCTCTACCAGACACACAATGAATGCCTTGTTATGCGTCACTTAACATTTGATTAATGAGGTCTTTTGGGAGGCGTTTCACTCCTGGAACCCAATTTTTTAATGCCGGATCTGATGAGCGTCCTGTGTTCGGCTAAATCTTCCCACCTGAATGTCCCGAATCGGATATTGATGGAATTGTCACCTCTTTAATTGAGACTTCGGGAATTTATTAACTCGTAAACACCGAAATACGGTAAAATATTTCATCTATTCTCACTAGCACCGTTTTTCACACCACCGAAATGGCAACGTGGCATGCAATTTCCGGAAATGACCGTCGTCATCGCGCTCAGAAAATCGATAATCGATTCCCATGTCTGCCGCTAATCTGCTACCACACCGACTCACAGCTCAATAGCCTTAACGGTCTCACAACCACAGCACAGGTCGACTCGTATCGTGCAAATCGGGGGTGATCATTTTTTTCGACTACCGCCGCTAATTCACCAATTGTGTCACCTCTTGTATGTTCAGTAATCATGTCTCTTGCAGGCGTTTTAGCCTGTGAAGATTAAGAATTTATCAGGCATATCCGTCAAATTACTGGTCCTATCTTTCTCACTGCCGATCATGCAATTAGATTGTGTGGTACGCTGTGCAATTGTGAACCTTCTCCACTCCAATTAGCACTGTAGTGACGCGTCATTTGTGCTACACTTTTGTGATAAAATTAGCCCGGGCTACACACGGCCTTGGATGCAAAACAGTGCGTAGGGGGGGGGGGAAGTTCCATCATGTCACTTGGCGTTGGATACCTGGTAAATTACTCTGGAAACTTAAATGCCCCGTATTGCTCTTCCTGCCCTAGCACCTAAACGTCTCCGTCCGATAGTTATCGATGGAGCCAACGTTGCTCATGGTGAATCATCGAAGTAAGTCACTGCGCCCAATTTAGCGAGGTGACTTTGCCAACCATGATGCCCGTCTTTTTGGTCCTTCACAGCTCTAATTTCAACGTCCATAACCTGCGTTGCGTTATAACCTACTTCAAACAGCGAGGCCACGAGGAAATCTCGATCTTCTTGCCCAGCACTGCGCAACCCAAATGCACAGCTTGCTTTTCGGCTAAGGAGATATCTCGCCACTTCACGTTTACGCCCTGCCGGCGGCTTGAAAACGGTTTCAAGCCGCAGAAGGCAGATGACGATAGGTGAGGGTTTAATCTTTGCTCTCTCAGGTCTCCCTTAAACCCACCCCACGGGAGGCGAAACTGCGGTTGCGCCCACGCAGTAGGTGCTGTGCGTTGATAGGCTGAAACGGCTCTGACGCAAAACCGAGTTTGAGTTTTCGTGCTTTGCGAAACCCGCACCTGCATAGCGATGTCATCATGTGATTTCGAGTACCAGCATAATTGGATTAAGTATTATGCTTCTCTCCACCCCGTTACTTGAAGCTGCATACGTTGGAGCATTTTATTCCTTGCATTCTCCTGCGTGTTGCGACCAACGAACGTTCGCCATTTCGTCAGAGGGCTATTGACTCCTGTGGTGCAAGTCAGATTATCGTCTATTCACTTCAGTATGTCTACAAGACGGCGTCGTCAAGTGTTTGCCCGAGGCCATTCAGGTTAAGTTGCACTTACGCAAGTGTCTCCAGCCAATCAGCAGTCAGTGGGACCCACATTAAGTCGCCCAGATAGGCAACTGCTTCACCCAGATTGCGTCTTCCTTGAATCGCAGTTGGAATTCACATGGCTCTTGCGCAAGCCGCTCAGTGTGCAGGTACTGATGAATTTGCTCATAAGTGACCAATGCTTCCCGTTTGTTTCCTAGTGTGATTCTGGAGTTTGCCAGAAAGAAGGATGCAGTGGTAATTTCCAATGATCAGTACCGCGACTGGCTAATACAGAGGCCTGAATTTCGTGATGTTATTGAGAATCGGTAAGCCTTTCGTGTAGCACTTAGTTTAAAACAAACACTCGTTTCTTGATCACCGAGGTCGTCACTTGAGGGTTACCGTTGATGTCCCATGCACCAGTCCAGCCGTTGCGTGCATAGCTACCAATCATGAGTTATTTCGTTCCTGTGAACCAATTGATATCTTACAAGGAAAAGTTCTTTTTCCCCACACTTTAGCGTTATCCCGTACACCCTCAGAACTGGGATCTTCGTTCTTTCGCATTATCCATTTGGAAAAGACAAGCCCCCCTTAGATGAGCTCCTATCTTTTCCTGATTAGACTTGGAGTCTACGGCACTCCCCACTCTCAGGCGGCACTCTCCTATGGACTTTCAACCATGGAGCACTTTCGATACGTATTTTTACAAATATAGCCCTAAAGCGTTTGTGTTCGTCAATTGGACTATTCAGGGGTTATCGATTAGTGAAGAAGCGGTCGATAATCAGAAATTACTGCCATGTGTGTGTGCGTGTCGTGGTGGTGTGGGCATCATTTAACATCAGTTGAATCCTCTAGCCTGGTTGATCACTTCACTAAGACATGGCAGTTCAAGATCTGGCCAGTCGCAGCTCAACACCCAAACATCTTAGCATGACGATTTCTCTCCCTTGAGGTTGGTGCTCGAGTTTTGGTTAGTTGTGAAATAAATGTCCAAGGACAACGAATTCTTAGCGTTGGCCAAACCGTTAAAATTAAAAGAGGTAAAAACCAGATACAAATGACCAAGATTGGTCACCAAACCAGAGACCAATTTTTTACTTCGGTTTAGTGAGGTACCCTCTCGCAAAAGTGATTCGGTTCAAGTTGATACAAGCCTTTTACCTTGAAAAGATGGTAATAACTTGAGTTCCAGGCAACCTGGAGACTATGAGCGAGCTATGGATAGGAGTATCAGTGCAAACAGGAATCAAAATTAAATTGCTGCTCTATTGGCAGATAGGGTCGCCATTCAACGCACACTTGACCAAGTGCTTCTACCTTCTAAAAGGATGTGGTTTTTTGGTCCTCTCAGATATTGGAAAACCCCGCAGAGTTGAGACAAAGAGGAGTAGGAGTCGAGCCTCTTTTTTGATGGTTAACCGCCCACTCTCACTAACGACGATACCTGGCCAGCCAGTGTAAGCCGTGAACTAGGCCTCCGTCCGTTTGCCTTGGAGGTAGTCCAGCAGAACAGTTTATGCTACTGGCGCCAAGTAAACTGTCTCAAATAGTGCCACTTTGTTTCTACGCTGACAACCGCTTACTAGATGGCCCCACCAAGTTGTGCCTGTCAGACCACTGCGCACAAAATGTCTTGTCTGACTAATGGGGGTTGCTGACCAATGCAGTAAGGGTGAACCTGTAAAGGTACCAATGGCTGAATGGGGGGATAAATGAAACGACTAGTGTGAGGGACGTACACAAACAGGGGTGAATGAGCAAAGGGTTTAGCGTGGTCGGTAGGGGCACCGTGGCTGGAACGCAACCAGCGCAGCTAACCACAATAGTGTATCTGTGACAAACTAGTGAGGTGTTGAACGGCTGCAAAATGGAGGGCAAAACCGTTGATAAAACGCATCGCAGACAAGTGCCAATACCAATTCCCAAGAAGATGGAATCTGTCATCCTTGGTATCAATATCTGACAGAAAAATTACCCGGACCCTTTAGACAGTTTACTCTCCGACAACTCCCTGAAATCGATGTCTCTTGACAATGCAGCGGCACAATAAACAGCTGAAGCCGGCACGAGTTTGCATTCCAATTTCGGAAGACAGTGTGGTCTGCGTCATCTGGTGGCACAATAACACAAAACTCCATCAAGTAGGCCTCCATTCTCCCACGCCACTTTTCATTTGTAGGAGAAACCTGCTTAGTGCGGAAGCCACTGAAATTGGACTTCAATAACATTCAACTTAGGTGTCCATGTTTTGTTAAAAAATTGAATAGAAAACTAGGCGATGGGATGGAGGTAGGGTACCATGACAAATCTTGTATAGCTAACAGCACCAGTAATTATCAAGACTTCTAAAAATAGGTATATCTGAGCTTCTGTCTTGCTAGGATTGAAGTCCTCGATGTCGCTGTCAGAACCACAACCTCAAGGAAATTCAGTATGATCAGTCCAACAGTGAATTTAATTGAGTTATACAGCACACAGACTTTAAAATGCAAATACATAAATGCAGTTTAAATGAAGCGTTTAAAATACACGAAAGCATGATTAGAGGCGCCGACGGCTTCGCTTGCCCCTTGGAGCATGTGTGGGACCGTTTGACGAGTCTGACAGAAAAGAACAAAGAAGATTCCGACTATCTGAGTCCGCTTTCTGATAAAGTCTCATCAAAAGGCTTGGGGGAGGCGGTGGAAGCAGTGCGTCGTCTTCCACTTCGACTTCAATTGAGCCAGATAAGGAGGACACGGAGTTGTCGGGGGACAGTTCTATGGTAACGGGTGTTGGGAGTAAAATCTCAGGTAGGGAACTGGTGGAGGAACCGGAGCTTTGTAGCAGTCTAATGTTCTCTCTTTCACGATTTCGAAGTGCTGGCGGGAGATGATCGGGGTTCATCACGCAATCCTTCTTGTGACTAGCTAGTTGGCATAGAGGGCCAACGTAACTGCAGCCCGATGAACGCCATGGACATGCTACCTACGATCAACCAACATAAGCAATAAAATAGATTAATTTCACCTCTATCAACACAAAGCATGACCTATGAACATGCTCTAAGGGGTCATGACGATATGTTGCGTTCGACGGCCTCATGGGCATACCTAAGACAACAACACGCCACTTGTCACAATGGCGCAGTTGTATAGCCGAGGCCAAATATTAATTATAATCCAAGATAATAAACGCGCACTTAATTTTAGATACATACTTGAAGGTTTTGTTACTACAGAAGTAGCTTAAATGTCAAGTTAAAGGAAATTTGTGGAATAAAATATATAATGAAGGTCTCCAGAAAAAAAATGAATCAAAATTTCTACAGCGGATGACAAAGTTGACATTTTACCTGAAAATTGAGTTCAAAGCACTTCGGAAACGGTTAGCGAAGTAAATTGACATGACGAGAACAAGTATACTCGCGTGTCACAAATTGTCAACGACGGAACGCTACTGGCTAGTGCACAGAGGAAATACGGGCACAGCAAATTCGTTAAGAACGTCGACAGTTTAATATTTTTTGGCTGACTTTCCTCATCTCAAAAAATATCAAAGGAAGGTAAACCACATAACATTAAAAAAGCATGCACACAAAATTGACAACATTAAAGCGGAACAAAAAGGTGCCTTGAATATTGGGGTAAATGATACCACAAAGATTGTTCGCATAAATCGGACAAACAAAAGCTAGAAAATATGGGGTTTGACGCTATTTAGTACTGCAGGATGCTACTTCCATTTTAAGCAGTTCTTAAAATTATATTTAGAGGAACGGGCTATAAAAGTCAAAGAACCTACCACATAATCCCCAATTATGTTTTCAAGTATGAAGTCGTGATGAAGCTGAGACACAGTAAGTCGTTTCCTATCGATAGGGCAGCAAGCCCCATTTTTTAACCATGCACAGATGCACTAAAATGCGGAAAATGCTTATTAGGGTCAAACGTCGCAACATCCAGAAAGCAATCACAACAATCGCTTGTGAATACGGACAGAAGGCGCAAAGAATCAAACACATGTGTCTGTTGTGTGTGAAAGTAAAAGGTTACCCACAAGACATAGGAAAAATCCACATTACAGTTCTAAGAACCACTGAGAACAGTGCAAATGCCACAATAACCGACATCAGTGAGCGCAAAAATCAATGACAATAAAATCCCTTGCAAACGAATTTTCAAGAACAAAATTTGAAAAAAAAAGCTACAACATACTGCATGGCAAAAACTATGGCCACATGGTGCTCTGTACGGTCTGTTAAAAACCTCCGAGCAAATGACACAAAAAAGGTGGGGGCTGATGGCGCTTGGGCGGATAAAAGCTCGATCCTCGGATTCAGTCACTTCTTCTGGCTCTGAACGCTGTCGCTTTTGGGCCCGACGTCCTGACGTGTTTGTATTTTGCGGACGACTAGAACGAGAAGCTCCTCGAATACGTGCCATTAAAATTTAAAAACTCCAAATAAGCAAATGAGCTACTAAGATAAATCTTAATTGGCAATCAATTCAAACAAGTAATCTAGGTGACTTGAATCCATTTGCAGGCAGTTCACAGAAATCAGACTTTTTGTAACACATTAATTTACAACTAACAGATTAGATAAATCAGATTACCAATCTGTATTCAAAAGCAATTAACTGTCACTTTAAATATTTTTCTTTAAAATTTTAATTAAAGAAAGTTTGGCTAAAAATTCGTACAGCAATTGATTCGAGTCGGCCTTTGATTATTAAGAAAAGTACATCTACATCTTCTTTTCCCAACATTATGGAACATCATGTGCTCGAAACCCACATTGTAATGCTCATAAACACGAATTGATCACAGTCAATAGATAAATTGATTAAATCAAAAAACAATTGGAAGAGAAATTAGTGGTGCTTGAGGGCATATGTTGACTTCATAACTAATGACGTAACCATTAAAAAAATTATAATTTTGTATGGCATCCATATGTTAACGAATATCTATTGGGCGAAAACAAATGGACAAAGACAAAGGCAAGCAACGACAAAAACGTAATCTGTAGACGCACATCAGAGTTTACGAAGATGTCCAAGTAAGTGTATCATCAATAAATTACATTGATTTGTGTTTTAATTTAAACATTGTTTTTTGATATGTCAAAAGCAAATATATCACAACTTGTTGTATAATACAAATGTTAATAATACGTTAGAGTTTCAATTAATCTTGGTCTAAAATCGTTGTTTTCTGTGTTTAAATAAACCAACTTATTCCGAAAGGCAGCGGCCCTTTGATTTGTTCAGTTTCAGTTTTTGCTGGTTGTGAGGATGACGGGTAAGCCTCCGGCTAAGGCAGGGTACTGGTACTTTGGTGGCCTGGCAAGTGCCATGGCCGCAGCTGTTACCCATCCTCTGGATTTGATAAAAGTCCATTTACAAACTCAACAGACAAAGGAGTTTGGAATGATTGGGATGGGGGTACGTGTATTTAAAAACGATGGATTCTTTGCTCTCTACAACGGTCTCAGTGCATCTCTTCTTCGACAACTAACTTACTCAATGACCCGTTTTGGCGTGTATGAATCCTACAAAAACTCAGTTGGAAGAAAAATGACTTTTGCCGAGAGTGGCGCTGTCGCAATGTTTGCAGGGTTTATGGGCGGTGTTGTAGGTAACCCTGCCGATATGGTTAACGTAAGGTGAGTTTGTACTGTCCTACTCTTGTGTGCCACTTTTTTTGCTTCGGCGAAATGGTAGTTGAGATTACGTTTTGTATTTCTGAGTTTTGGTCATGGTCTACTTATCGAAACCGCAAGTTAGTTATTTCGAACAATTTAATGGCACTTGTTATTTAGCCTTCCTGCATTTTATTCGTCATAATGAACCTGGTTTTTGCTTTCTTAGAATGCAAAATGACGTTAAAATTCCTGCTGCACAACGCCGCAAGTAAGTTTGTGTTTAAGTAACACTGGGTTTTCACGGACAAATTTCTCGTCACTCATTTTGATGAAATTTGCAGTTACAAACATGCAATTGATGGTCTCGTGCGAGTGGCCAAAGAAGAAGGCGTTCTATCTCTTTTCAACGGTGTCTCCATGACGGCCACTCGAGCTATGTTTATGACTTTCGGTCAACTTGCTTTCTACGATACCTTTAAGGCAATGCTCCTTTCGACAGGCTTCTTTAGTGATAATCCTGTCACCCACTTTTCGGCCTCAATCGGTGCAGCCGGTGTTGCCACCTGCATGACTCAACCTTTCGATGTCATGAAAACCCGCCTAATGAATGCTCCTCCTGGCAAATATTCCGTAAGTCAAAGCTACGAAAGAAGTTAATCATCACACCAAGTACTTTGTTTAAAAGTCTTTCCGTGCCATGCTGGTCATGTGTGCTGCTTTCAACTGTAGTATACCCGTTTACTTTCACGAAAAACGTAAATTAACTTTTTGTTCGTGTCACGATTATTGTTGCATCGACTAATTGTAACTCCGCGTTCCCTCTACATAGGGCCTTGCTGCATGCGGCATGGACGTTTTACGAACGGGCCCGCTAGGTTTCTTCAAGGGCCTAGTCCCAGCTTTTATCCGTCTTGGTCCGCATACCGTACTTACCTTCATTTTCTTGGAGCAGTTGAAGGCCAATTTCGGCTATGTGCCCAGCTCTCAACCCGCTAAACCAAAATCCTAAATTATTTTCTCAAACTACGGTGTTTCGCGTTTGCATGTAGCTAGTTACCGTTTCTGTTCAACGTTAAGATGCTCAGCCGTCGTCTGAACCGTGTACTACCCAAGTGTGTTTTGCATTTCTACATTATGTATTGCTTTCCAAAATTCGGTCGAAGCTGGAGTTTTTTTATTTGTTTTGACCAATTGGTGTGGCTTCTGTCGTGGTGGCTCAAAATATAAACAAATAATTCGGCGTTGTCCTGTAGGCATTGGTGTAGCTACGAGCCCACTAGTCACTGTGGTTGTGCAGTCGCGGCGCAGACCCAAATAACGACGCGGTGCCGATCGTTTCCAAGTACCACGACTTAGCCAAGCGCAATAACTTAAAACAAGCCGGGAGTACAAATCAGAACAAGAAGTAGTTATTAATTTATTACGTCATGAGTATTAGCAATCCACTGAAAGACAGTTTGCGCGTGTGGGCGAGCGAAACAGGGCCACAAGGATACGGGGATTCACTTTTTGTGCCGTGGTGGCACCGTTAGACACCAAAGGACGCGAGGAAGATCGGTAGAGGGTCGCAGTGCGTGGCGGCGCTAGCTGTACATCTCCAGTAAGTCATTTAGCGACGCGCGTTGCCTAATATCACGAACAAGGCAGCGCTTGAGGGCCTAAAGTGAAGGAGTATCAAACAAAGTCCATAGGCTTAAAGTTTGTCTCATTAGTTGAAGGATTTAGAGTGGTGGTCAAGAACCGGGTGGCAATAAATCGAGGGTCACTAGAAATGCCACAGTATGTCTACCGTTTGACGTTTTGCTAACGACGGTTCCACTAGTAGCCAATACGGTTGTGTCGCTCCTGCACTACTTGCAGTCGGCCCATCAACGGGACCATCCAGCCAATGTGCCATCGAACATATCCATCTGACTACATATTGAACCGCAACAACCCTGAGATGGTCTATAAATCGCAACAGGATGCGTACAGTTCCAATGAGACATGTTTTGTAACTCAACGTTGCAGTTTAGATGCACATACAGCAGGCCCAGAATGAAATGACCCGAGAAACAAGACTAAAATACGTGGATTGGAGATTCCGCTCCGCCTTTAGTGAGACGGCGAGCCCACTCCGCGCCTACCGCGAAGAGCATTTCAAGATAGCTACTTTGAAATGATCGATCGAATGAGGCTTAATGACGGTTTCTTGCGAGACAACACAATATGGCTGACTGCCACACATCGACTCGTGAGGCGATTAACACACCTTGTCGATCTTGGGATTTATCACATGGGGGAATGGTATGGGGAAGTTTGGAGAGATTATGGCCGTCATTATGGCGGCCTGGTGAGTTCGGCCGAATGGTGCGCGGCCATGCACCATCTCGTAAAGAATTACGCCGAGCGACCAGACGTCAGTCTTCAATCGGACCTGAAATCAAGTGGACAAAACTGCTTGTTACTGTAAAGCAACGCAACTTTGTAATTCTCGTATTGTCAATTAACTTCACGACAGGTTAGTGTGTGGTGGCGATCTGCTTTGGCTACTCGATTAAAGGCGAGTGCATTAACGTTAGCGATTTGAGGGCAGCAATTCACAAAACTGGGACTCGACAACGCCCAGATTGTGTGGAGTCGTAGTGAAGGCCTGAAATATGACAGCTAAACTAAAAGTAGATTCCCGAGTTATCTGAGGGTGGAAATTTACAAATAGAAAGCGTTGGAACTTCGATGGCTTTGGAGACGGCCTCTATGACTGTTTTGGGGCCTGTGTTACCGGAATTGACGCGTTTCAAAAATTGAAGCCATTTTCGGCATCAAAAACAATAAATTCAACACAATTTAACGTCTGCCGTGACTTCACACCCTTTGAATGGATTGGGAGACAGCTATCAGATTGGCACAACCACATTCGAATCAGCGTTTCCCCCCCCTTGGTCACACAGTCGCTTTGCGCTCACACCTACAGTTCACACCTTTCGCCAAGTAGAGACGAGTTCGAACCACTTAGAGCTAGCTTGCGCTGTAAACAAGACTAATGTTCAGTGGATGTGATCGCCATGCAAAGCTGATTTTTTTGGCAAAAGAGGCCTATGCACGCCAGACACGAACACACACGCACACAAGATAGTTACGCAGGCTGTTTGTGTGCGTAAAGGCCACCACCCAGGTTAACGGAAAGCACATTTTGGCAAACCACGAACACAACTTAGAGCGTGCATTTTTCTAGAGAAAAATAATAATTTACCATGATTCACCAGGTAGACTAGCCTGAAGAGCAGGCTAACTGCATCAGTAAAAAAAGTTTGAGGAAAACATTTCGAAAAATCGAATTCAGGGCCGTTCTAAAACTTGCGAACTACGGAAAAACACACGGAGACTGAGATCAGAAATAATATATACCGAAGCATGCCTCATTTTCGCATTCAAAAGTCAAAACATAACGTCTCGGCTCCTTGACCCGTTACACGTTTCCAAGTGAACAAAAGCGGGAGAGGGAAACACGTGTTGGTAAACTCTTTTACACAGTGATCAACAGAGCGTGGAAGACCGCGACTTCCAAAAGTTTCATAAGACCCATAACGGAGCCCAAGTGTTACCTTTGGTTCGTTGTCACCCCTGGTACTGGCTGGATGCGTCGAGGAACCACTGGCGATGCAGGTAAGCTGTTCAGGACTCATGTAGATAATTGAACCCATCGGCTGCTGGAGATCCATGTGGGTGCAATCCACCGGCAGGCGCTGGCTGATGCCGAGATCAATCAACTTCAGCATCCCTCGCACAATTACAAAGTTTTCCGGCTTCAGGTCCAGGTGAACAATTCCTACGCAAACGAAGGACGAAAACAAGGCCGCAACAGTTGAGGCTGTGGGGTAAAATGCGCTGATTCACCTCCATCAACCCGGTCGCCGCATACTCCAACGCAAAGCAGACCTTCTCACGACACGTCGATTGGTCATGCGGGAGCTTCTGCCCACACACACACACACTGCTGTGTAAGTACCTCGTGCACCCACCATCCGTTTCAGTCATCTGGTCATTCAGTCATGCGTGCGCCTACTAGCTCACCCAAACACCACTGATCAACAACCTTCTTTACTGACACAAACACACACGCCAATCATGTTGAGCCACCTAACAAACAGCTGCAGCCCACCTCTCTCGTCTTCCTGATCTTTCCGGTCTGCAACAAAACAGTGAACCACACACACACACACATTCACCTAAGTCCAAGCAATCGCTAAAGGCAACAAACGATTAGCAAAGTGCACAAGACGAAGATGGAAACAAGCAATTAGTAGTTCCGCACGGCACCCTATCGAGCAGTTTTGCACTCACGTCAATTTGAAAAACCGTTGATACAAGAAACTACATTCGAGTTGCCTGTCACGATTGTGCCCAAAAAAAACAAGATCACAATTTTGACGACGATACTAGAGAGGATTGGAGTTGCGGCACCCGCATCGCCACCCCGTGGACGATGAATAAGTAATCGATAAGTTGCGCGGTTCCAACGAAATAACTCCGGATGCCCAACTCGAGTTCCACGAAAGAACTGCAGGCCACCACACAAGACAAGCTACACAATCGGTTTGTTGTGATTCGCGTCTATTCACACCCCTTAATCCGGTCGCTCCAGCCTCCGACACAGGGTCCCCCTTTTCGCAGCATGTCGTCAGCCCCGCGGATCCCCAACTCCCCTCTCGTTAGCACGAACATTTATCCTGGATTATCCTCACACATAGGTCTCGATGTTAGCGCATGACTCACACATCCGAGGTATAAATATACACGCGCAAACTCCACACACGACACGACGACATCAACGAGTTTGAGCTCTGAAGTAGGCGGTTATGTCCGTCCTCTCCGGTCTTTTTCTTCATCGCGGGTATCAGGGAAGTGTAATCGGGCCAGGGTTAATTCTGTGGCACCGGCGTGGTTCAAGACCACATGCTGGGGCCCACAACAGGTTTGTCTGCTGCTTTTCAAGCAGGCCCCCAGAAACATGCACCGAGCAGTTCCCAACCCACTCTAGTCACTGTAACTTCGAATCGGTAGTACTGATGACGTCGGTGAAGGCTTAAACAAACTAAATGGCACCGCGAGCGGATGCTTCGCGGGTGAACGGGTCACGCGATAATAAGGTCAGCTTCTCAAAATGACCGGATCTGACCGACATAACTTGGTTTGAAAGTAAATTCAGAGCCGACGCATGAAATAGTCGAATTACATGGAGTCACTGAACCAGAACACGACGAAGACTTAAGCAACAGGGTACACACGTTGATAATCCCCTTCAAGAAAAAAACTAACCATCGCGGTTTCATAGTAGTTGCTCTCTTTCAAGCAGCCTAGCCAACCATCATCTTCTTAACCCCAAGCCAGTTAAAGAAAAGTCACCACTTCTAACGCCAACTCTCGACAAAAGCTAGTATTTCGCGCAATGCCAGCTTTATTACAGTTCCCAAAGCTCTGATTCGTAAAAACAGCCAATCGCTAATAAGCATCGTTTTATGATCGCGCCGATTACCTCACTTCGATTTACTCGCTTCACCAAGGTAGATCTACGTAGACGCGGTAGCAGCTGCAACCAGTGGGTGACACAATCATGTTTCAAAGTTTTCACAATGTGCCAACTTCGATTTTACGTCGACGCGAACACGTTGTAATGGCAATGGATCGGCATATCTGCTATGCCGCAATAGATCCAGCTTTAACAAATGTTACTTTACAAACACACAAATCGCAAGGCATCACCCAGACACGTTGATGTAACAGCCACTCCCACCGCCAGCCCCCGGCCCAACCTCTGCCACAGTTCACCAAAATGCAAACTTTACTGGCACTCCTGCTTATTATAAATGTACTTCTTATTGAGCAAAAATAGGGGCCCAACGACTCACGTCGATCGTGGATGACCTTGACACAGGCGAGCATCTCAGTCCAAAAGAAGGTGATCACGGGATAGGAGAGAGGCCCATTTTCCTGGCGCAATTTCAGATGTGACTTGAGATCTTGCTCTGCGAGTTCCAGAACCATCACCAAGTGATTAGATGACAGTTCACTGAAACATGAACATGACACTCAAAGCTATGGTTACACACACGCTTTCCATCTAGTGTTTTTGAACACTTTTTAGGGTCGATTAAGAAATTTGAAATATGGCTGGCCTAGTAGAATGAACCATTGATTGTTTGCAGAACCATTTTAAAGCTGATACGCGAAAATCAAGCTGCTAATTAAATGTAAGTAGTAAAGCAAACTCACTAGCTGTAAAGAGCAATAACGCGGCCGGAGTCCCGAAGGGATAAAAGTAGGCGCACCTCGTTTTCACATACTGCCAGCACGTCACTCGAAGCAGAGGCCAGTTCAACACGTTTCAGGGCACGTAGCTCCCTATCTTTATTCATGACACAGTAAACCTATAATGAATGCGGAGTAACTAATCGGGCCTCCACATGAAAGAGGCATAAGCCAAAACCGTTAATCTAACTTGTATGCATTTGTGAAAATTAAGATGACGATGAGTGGTTAGTTAAACAAAGGGCGCCAGCCTGTTGAGCATAAATAAATACATGTTATGGAAAATTCCACACTCGAAAGAAAGACCTGCATTGGACTGACAGCCATTTCTAGTGCGTGATGCGTGTTTACCGGCCAGGTTTTACCAATGACTTATCTCCATTTTATTGGTTACTGCTAGCAGTCGCCTGTTACACACACGTGCTCATTCGCACACAAAGACACACTTGGATGGAGTGTCCGCTGTCACTACAAGTCCCCCATCATTGATGCATTGAATAACGTACCGTGGAGAATCCGCCCCGCGCGATTTGTCGAAGAAACACAAACTTTTCACCTTCTACTGAGACAGTGGACTTGCTAACAAGTGCGCATATTGGATCTTCTTCGAGGGAGCTAGCGGAGCTTTGAGGGGAAGCAGGGGCAACCCTTGACATCAGGGGCTTCCGTTGATTCCTTAAGTGCGCTTCATTGTCTTGAATGCTCTCCTTCTCACATGATTTCCGAGCACGAATATGCAGTGGCTGGGAAAGGTTTTCTTTGTTCGAATCATCAACTAAAGAAGGGAAGACCTGGGCAGTAATAGCCACTAAAAATGGGGGAAATACAACCACGACAAGTTAATAATTTAGGACAGGTGCCGCTCTTAAAAAATAAAAAAAATATCAGTATGCGACCGTTCAACAATTCACAAACACAGCTAACAGTTAATAGAGAAGGCAGTCGATTACAACAAAAAAATTGCCATCCAGGATAACCAATGATATAAAAAAACTCGACAAGGCAATTAATTGTTTTAAGGGTTTTAAATTGCGATTACATACTGGTGATGCTCTGAGGTTTGGTAGCGTTAGGAATCACTTGAACGGCGGTTTCACATTCATCAGCTGCCGTAGATGGTTGAGATGACATTTGGACAACGGACGAATCCTCGTCAAATAAAGAGGGGTGAGAGTTCATTTCAATAGTTTGAAAATCTGCAGATGGTTGAGAAGACATTTGGACTGTTAAATTTTCGTCATCTTCCTCTTCATCTTCCTCGCCAATACGATGGAGAGGACGAGGGGTTGGGTGAAACGGAGCTACGGGCAACCGTTTGACCGGTGAAGGTCGTTCAGGAGTTCCTATCTCCATCGAACTCTCGGAATCACTGAAACCAATCTTGTCACTGGAAAGAGACTCGTTATCTTCATTTTGCAACTAAAATTTGTTAAGAGGTGGAAAGTAAAGAGTCGAAATCTTGTGGACTTCGTGCTAAGAAAACAAATCGAAGTTAATATACTTCTTTCTCACCCGCGCAATGTTCGTTTGTAGCTTTGGTCTAATAAAGCAGAGCAAATTAGGGAAAATCATAGCGTACCTTTCTTTCAACTCCGGAAATAAACCTTCATGCGCGCTTAGGTCTTTGCCTAACCGATTACCCCACGCACCTACATTGATAAACATGATTGACAGAGAAATACCGCTTATGAAAGGCACGTAATCGTATATCCCCATCAAAGGGCGAAACGATAGCCCTCTTTGACGCCATTCAACAGCCTTTTCAAGTAAACATTTATCTAAGTCACATGTAGCATTAGCCTTTGCTCGCTTCAATATGGTTTCAGCACGCGAAGTATTACCTAACATTATGACATATTTGTGGATCATACCCAAAACAGTGTAATAGTGAGCCAATGCGACCATAAGGCGTGTATTTGAGGGAGCATTGATATTGAGAACTGAAAGAAATTGTGATACATCATCAAGGGACTCAGTACTGAAAACAATAACAGGAAGAAAAATCTGTACCCCTTCAACAATGCAAGCCGAATCATTATTGCCGTATAACTTTCATCGCGCCATAACTCAGGTAGGGTCTAAAAATCAGCAATCTAACAGCACTTTACTTCAATTGCGTAATCATATACAGGGAGAAGGAAATTTTCCTCGTAAGAAGGACGTCCGTTTCTAATTTCCTCTTCAGCTTTGTTTAGATAATTCAGCCAGTGAGCTGGAACGTTAGAGGAGAACGGACCTTAAGCTAATTATAATATTTGAAGACAAACATTCTTTCAGAAGCGGTTTCGGAACCTTTAAAAGCTCTGAGATACTCATACGAATCAGAAAACTGCGACTTTTCCCTTAACGCGCTATTGCCCATTATTAAAGACACCTACACAAATAAACAACTTGCAATCATATAATTTAAAATAGTTTGATACAAGACCTATTATGCGTGGAATCAAATGGCTTTGCTATAATTACCGTGCAAACTATGCGTAACGAGCTGATTGTAGATTTGAATTGCTAAGACTTCCCTAGGAATTTAATCAATTAACTTAATTTTTAAATTATTGCAACTGGGCCTATTTCATTAATGTCAGTTTTGAATTAAGTAGTTTTGAGTAATTTGTATAATTGATATTGTATGAATCCGACTAAATTATTTTTAGTTTTTTATCTTTTATCAAAATTTGTCTTATCAACACAATGTATATTAGCAATACAAAGTGTTTAACTTACAAAATGAGTCATACTAAGCACCTTTTGTTGAATTTTTACTTAATTTAAGGCTAGCAATCTGTGAAGGAAGCAATTATTCTATATGATTTTCATTTAAGTTCAAATGGCGTCATCTTGTCATCATGCAAATCCATTTGCTTTCAAAGTACCTTTATCAAATTGTAATTCAGGAGTTTGAAATAGCGCAACAATATAAATGATCATACTTATCCGAATTTTACAACATAGTGTTACAATTCGCAAACAAAAGAGCATTATTAGTCTTCCTTCTCTGTTAAGAATTTTACTTGTGTTAAAGAAACATCTGGCTGTAATGACTTAACTGATCAATATGTTGTGAATATATGCATTACAAATAAAGTATCAAAAACTTTTTTAATGATGAAAAAAGACGGCAGCAACTTTACCGACAAAGGTCTTAGTCGTCCTTTTCGATATTTCTTCTCATGCTAAAGTTGGAGCATTTTGTGGCGTCTTAATTAACTTATGTCCCCCTTACCTCAGGCAACTTTTCACGCCTTACGTACCTTTGTGTAACGAGTTACAAACTGCTCTGTTTCTGCTGTGATTTCTCATTAAATATAGTGTGACGATCAGAGAGCGAACATTGCTAGCGAGCGTGAGTGCGCAAAATCAGTCGATCAACTAAAGCGATGTCACATTTTTAAATATAATCTGAAACCTTATTACACTATCGGCACATCCTGTACAACTGGGCTATTATTGTAGCGACAAGTCGTTTAAACGCTGTGTTGTTCACGGTTCTTTCCTGTATCCAGGTCGAGCCCCATCAGATTTGGTCTTTTGACTTTACAACAGACCTGTTACAAGGATAAATTTGTAGTGGACTTAATGTCAAATTTAAACCACACCGAGGTCGACAATCGACGTAGATAAGGACTAAATAAGACAGCGAAATCTGACCAAACTGGATAAACCTCACACGTTTTAATGGCTACAGAAATGCACTCTATTTTGAGAAGGACCACTTTCAAATTGATAGTAAGGGCTAACATTCGAATCATTGAACAAATGTTGCTACGTCGGAAAATTGAGAAACCAACTAATCCAATTGAAAATTTGATTAAATTTTCATCAGCACACTTCTAAAAACCTGATGCGCGAACCACCTTAAATGTAGCTCACAAGAAGGTAATGATCAAAATCATTTCTTACCGGAATTGCTTAGCCAGCTTTTATGCAGATAAAAAGACAACTCTTAATTCGACGGTAATGAAGTATTAAATGCAACATGTTTTGATGGTACTTCAGCAATCAAATTATATAAGTTCAGAAGTTCGTTAACCTCTCTGAAGGTGCAAATTTTCGAATTCATACAACCACTCTCTATTCAAAAATCTCTGTTGACAACAGTTAGCAGACTCCTCGTTTGACACATTGGACTTGTGGGAACCAACGACTGACCTGTCAAGGATTTCACGAAGGGCATCCCCTCACCAAAATGCATTTTAGCAATGACAATGTCGCATACCAAGAAAGAAGGGATATTGGGCCACCTGGGACAATAAGATCCGCTCACACTCTCGGTGCCACAGAGATTTAACTGGCACGAAAGACTAGATTGTGCGAACATCTCCACACAGACCACATCCCCAACAACCACAAACTGCTTTACTTATTCACAGTCATTATCGCTCCATGAGAATTTACGGGCCAAGCGGTAAATTGTCTTAACAAATTATGAACATTTCTGTAACACGACGCATTCCCAGTGAAGTGAAAGGAGGTGACCGCTGGTACTTCGCCGGATTATGTAAATTATGAGGAATAACAAAGGCTGAATAGAGTTGTTTGGGCAAAACAGCCAGGAGATAACAAAAAGACAAAAAACATGACTGATGGAAACGAAGGGCTGACAGGTGATGTTAGGTGCGCTGTTGCTGGTGCTGTCTGGTTCTTCGTAACTCCTGTGAGCGGAGTCCGGGTCGAGCACAACGCGGAAACGGGTGCGAGTGAATGGGTGAATTGGGCGGGGACGCAAAACGAGAGGACCTTCTGGAACTCGAAGACCCGTTTCTCCTCAATTTGACCTCCACAGAGAGCTCCTAGATGAAAACACATTGCGAGATGAAAGGAATGATTCAAACCAAACATGGAGTTTTAAGAAATAGGCGAAGCTTTTGGTTAAATCGCGGTAAACTTAGGCATCTCATTACCTCAGTGATTTCATTCTTTCCGTCAATGGGTTTTGCCGGGGATTTGCGCGTAGCTAAAACTGAAAGTTTGATTGTAATACCAAACACGTAAAACAGGTAGGAGTTAGAGAGCACCTCAACATCCGATATTGAGCATAGTGGCACGATGGAGTAGCACTTCTGCCGTGCAAAATACATCGGCCAATAGTCAATATGGTCAATAGTAAAAAAAGCACCGAAAAATTAACAACCACAGGCAGCAGTAGGCAGGAACATACTTTGCAGAACTGGCAACAAGGCATTCTCCTGCCCACTACGAGAAAGCAGAAGCTCCGAGTACACTGAGTCACATTTTTTGCGAGTGATAAACGCAAGTGCAAATGGGAGGTCAAGGTGGCTACGTTTTTGCATAGATAGGTAGTGTTAGTCGTAAATTTTGGCAACTATGAGATGGTTTTAGGAGCGACCCAGAGCACCGCGACTGCTTACACACTTATTGCGTTGGTGGTCGACAGATAAGTAAACGCGTTCTTTTTATTAACAAGTATGGCGACTGCTCGAGATTACAGCTAATGGGTGGGTAAAGTTGTGAGCCACACAAATTGAAAAACGTCAAGCGAAGGACGCGTAGCACAATGGATGAATCATAGTCGACTGCTGACAGCGCGGGTAAATAACAATAAAATACATCAAGTGCAAAGTTGCTTCACAAGGACGTTCGCAATTTCACTACGCGTTTAAAGACAGAGCACGACCAAGCGTGAATTGACGTCGGGTATAGCAAAGCCGCGAGAGTGGCGCTGATTCGAGGGCCAGAGGGCCACAATTAGCTACTGCCTGTGTCAGTCACTGAAGAGTACATCGGAGACGGGTACGCGAGATGGGCCAAGTTGAGGCGTGCTGATGGTTGTGAAAATTCCGAACTCCGAATCTGTCGTTACATAGCGAAAGGATTCAATCAAAGAGTGCAGCCGGGTCGGTCGACTGGGTGGCGTGGTGTCAATTTTCCAAGTGCCTTTGCTCCATGGACAGCAAATAACTTCGGGATTCAATCGCTAACTCGCATCAAAATATATTATAACTAACCAATAACGTATAAAAACTAATTGCTACTAGAGAAATAATAGTATAGTGAATCAATGAGTACTGGGAAATGCAAACAAAAGGCCTTATCAGGGAACAGCGTCACTGCTTTTTTGAATGAGAAGATAAAAGTGCCTCCATGCTTAAAAGTATTTGGGAGGGGGATTATTAAGCAAGTCGTCATTGAACATTTGCTCAATACTTGCGATTTTATAAGCTCGTCCATGCATTCCGAGACGTGGTCATGGTTAACAGGAACCAGGGTCACTACTGTTCGAATAAACAACGACCCAAAAAATGTCGAGATTCACCTGGTAAGTCACTCAAATCGATACAGATGGGAGATGGCGGCGACTCCAACCCCTTCTTACCGTTGCTTACGGACACCTCGTTCTAAAATGAGACACAACAGCTGACAGATTAAACCCCTTCTGACTGGCAGTTAAGTTCGTACGAAGTATATAAACGTTCACTCGAACTGTCCAAAAAAAAGTGGCGAAAGGTACCTTGTGAAAAAACCTGGACCACGTCATGGGTAAGCGCTACAACTCCAGGAGCCTCTAGGTTACCTCACAAACGACGATCCGATAATAGGCGCTCGATGATACACGTAACCTGGAAGTTCAGTGACAGTGGGTCCCTCCGTACCAAAAACATGGCAGCACATCACGAATTGATCATGGAGACGAAGTCAAACAATAGCATTTGTGAGGGATTCACAAAATCATGACTTCCGATTCTACTTAAGAACTCACAAATATTGGTTTACATTGGATTTAATGCCACACTGAGAGATTAAGTTGGCCCACAGCACAAAAGAAAAGAGTACTAGTAAAAATCAAAGCATGTGACAAACAAACACCACGATAACTGATTGACGTCGCCTCAAAAGCAAGGAATCGCGCGAAGTCGTATTAACTGACCGTCCTATCGGTATCACCGCATCTACGTCAGTGTGGCTGCATAGCCGCGACGTTAAACATGCACCTTAGAAACCAGGCTAATGTCTATTGTAAAACTGCGGCCATGTACGTGTGAGTACTTTATCTGCGCTTCCGAGTGAGCAGTGGATACTTACAAGGTTTGGGGAAGCAGGCCTAGGGAGGCGGTCTTTCGATGGAGGCCGGTGTAGGGGGGGAGACATGGCAGCCACCGACGGGACGCTCACTGACGCGGTCTTACGAGCCACGAAGATTGGGGTCTTGGGAGTTGGGAGACGCGGAGTCGGCGTCGAAGCAACCACAGCGGCCGTCGACCGATGGCAAATTGCGGTGGCAGATTTCGACGGAGGAGTCGATAATTTGCGCTCGGAGGGAAAATGACGCAGACTAGGGGGAGTAGCGAACCACGCCAACTTCTTGGTCAAACATGGTGTTCCTGGAAGAGAACGGTAGGGGGATCAGGTCAATCGATACTCCTTGTAAGCAATCAAATTCAGCATAAGTCCTTTCTTCCTTATTTGAAGGCACAAAGTCGTTTATGGCAGAAAACTGACAGACACGCACCGTAGTAGCAGAGGAAGTCGACAAAGTCGTGCGTGTTCACGGGACGCCCGCTGGAGTCCTGCCACAGAGAGGGCGGTACAGCGTCGGGCGCGAGACTAATCGAGACCTCCTCCTCAACCTCCACCGCCTTTGCCGGTCTCGCTGGCTTCGGACTTGCAGAAACAACTACAAAACGGGAGGAAATTGTACGGCTTAGAAGACGACCAGACTCTGTTTGCTTGACTCAAATTCTAGTCCCGTGATATTTTAAGACGAAAGCTAGGTTATGGCAGTGGATCGTTCGCTGTTCTTCAACTGGATTTCCGTTATTGTTGACATTATCAGTACTTTCAATACCAGTTTATTTGAGTCCAATCGTGGAAATGTGCGTGGGTATTGACAGCATAACCAGGCGAAGTACACAGTTATGATTCGTCAACCGTAATAGCAGCAATTTTGAACTCAACGATGCACCCCATTCTGACTGCCCGACAACCTACCTCGGGGTACACCGTTTAAACGTGTTCTTAAAAAGGGAGACTACTGTCTCCACTTGGAGTCAATGGAAAATGATTGCGTGCTTGCCGAATGAGTTAACGGAAACCCAACGAACAGGGGCACTCAGGTACACAAATCAAGTCTCGCGTGAGACGAAAGTAGTGCCTTTATATGTGGTGGGATATTCTCGTTGAGTCAAACAGTCGACCGGCACCCACTGGCGCTGCTTGAACAGGATGACTCAACAAAAGCTACCTGATCTCGAAGACACAGGACAACAACGTCTCACAGCTACCGCACAACTTGCTCTGGGATCAGGCCAGTTTTCGACTTATCCGCAAAACAGTTTGAATCTTGTAGTGCCAGGTTGCCATCGTTTTCGTTCGCTTTCTCGTCAAACGAGACCCAAAACAACGAGAAGCACCCGAAGATAAAACGAGATGAGAGTGAGGGGCAACCGTTTACTAGATAGCTCAATGAAGTTGCGTTACCGTGTGCGTGCATTACACGTACTGTATGACTGATACAGTCTGGGTGAACTAGTAAAAGTACAGACGCCTGACACCTACTTCATGACTAGATCAAACAATTTTTTTTTCGAAATAGAATGAAAGAATTGACCGAAAGGTGGTATGGATTCGCAAACAATGTTGTTTGCAAGTGAGCGAAAGAAGCGGATCTGTGCCTCAACCCAACTCTTACAACTCGACACTGAGGTCACGTACGTTGGGGGACAAAGTCGCCGTCCTCGCCTTCAACCAATACCTCGTAGGTCTCATCCAGGAGGCTGCCGACGTTGCTCCCGTTCGGTTGGCTACAAACAGGTGACCCAGGTTTGACGTGGGCGATGGGGTACCGTTTAATGGGCGATCTTGGTCTGTAGAAGGCAATAAAACCCCAATATATATCAGAGGTTGAGGGCTCTGTGAACGACCATTAAAACCCTCGGTTTCACCAGGTGTCCGATAGACACCAGGTAAGATGCTCCATGCCCAGAATAGGTCCAAAATTTTCAAGGTTAGGGAAGAGACAGGTGTACGTTAATTTAAAAAGTAACTGGAAAACCAATAAGTGCGACGTAAACCATTCCCTAAACTTAAAATTGAAATTAAGCTCACTATTTCAGTTATATTATATTATTGCACTTTAAATATGCTACGTGAGATAATTTTTATCTTAAAAATCAAGGGACACGTACACTCAATCCAGCAAAATATCGAATTCCCTAGATAAAACTTTGACGCAATATTTGGAGTGTGGTAATCAGGCAATCCAACGAATTGTCGGAAGACGTGTCTAAGCACTGGTTGTAAACGTGTGTGCTAAATGCAGAAATAGTGTGAGCCGTTTCAACCACACACAAGCGACGACGGCAAAGAGAATGGTTAATTTTACCGTTTGATGAAGTGTTTGAGGGGCAGACGGGTGGAAGGATTGACGACGAGGTTCTTCGGCTGAAGTCGCTGCCTTTGCGAGGACCGATTGAGGGTTCGCCTGGCCGCGGAGGCGATAGAGATGGCCAGAGAGCGAGAATACGACGTGGTGAGGAGGAACTGGTGGGACAGGCTCCCGGGAAGGGGACGCGACTTCCGAGGATGCGGATTGGCTGAAATCGGCGCCTCCTCTCGCTAAAAATTGGGCGTAAGGGGCTAAGGCGGTAAATTAGAGAAAGCGTCCATCTTCGACTTGCTATTCTAATCTTCAAACAAAGTAGGGTTCGGCAAGAGGCTACCACGGCAATTAATTTGTTTGACCTGCGACAGCATCAGCCTAAACCACTGTAGAACTATACCCGCGAAATCTACGAACCTCAGGAATGATTCTGTGAGGTGTTGAAGAGGAAGGCAGGACTAATTAATCGAGACGAACAACACAGAGCTTTGTGAGCACAACAAGCGTCAAATAAATCCCAACAGAGAGCTCATTTAATGACGCCTTAACGAGTTGTTGTTGTTGAAAGACACCCAACCATCGACCACTGGGTAGCTAATGGCAGTCGACATCTGAAAAACTTTGGTGGGGCTCCTAGGTAAACGCTTGTGCACAAAATGCATTTCGAAGCTTGGATGAGGCCCTTGGAATGAAGAAGGGTCTACAAACCAAGATGCAAGCTTCCGTCCGACGTAGAAAGGTATTTGAATCAAATCTCAAGCCGGATCAAATCCCCCATTGCAATGATAAAACACAAATCGTTTCATCAAGGCTTTCAAACACGAATTCGCTCTGGTTACCGATTGCCCACTAAATAAATAGATGCGACACAGAATCGGGGGCAAGAAAAGATCGGTAAAAGGTACAGACGGAGGGAGATGAGGGAATCGAGGAGGTTTGCACTTATTGAATACGAAAACCTGCCAGTCGATGGTCGATTCTAATTATCTCTAAAGCAAGAAAATTGAACAGGAAGAGAGGCAGAAGAGTTTTACATATCAACGCACCGCTTTGTCGTTCTTTGCCGAGTCAGAAGACTTGCTCGTTTTCTTAGATGAGGCCAGAGTAGATCGGGGCAGCTTCGGAGCACGCATAAGACGCGACTTCAGTGGAGAGGGGATGTTCTTTTCTCGCAGAGAGTCGTAAATGGCCTTGCGCAGGTCTCTCTCCTCCTTCCACGAAATGCCAACAAGGTCGTGCTGCGGAGCGCAGGAAATGAACCAAATTCATGGAAATCAGCATTTCTCAGTTTATTCCGGTCATTTTGCACTTTATAGGGTTGATTTTATGTTGGGACAAAATACATCATTTTGTTCACACTTAAGTTAGGCAGCAACCTGAGATGAATGGCACCTTCAATAACTTTGACTGAAAACCGATAAGAACCAATCTACTGGGACCATTGGATTCCCGCAGAGAATGACAACTACTGAGCAGACAAAGCGATTTGAGATCAAACCCGGCTACCCAAAACCACCAACCGATGTATCAAGATATTTGTGGTCAAATTTTTCCTGTGGTGGCGTACAATAAGTCCTGCACTTATACATTAAGCAGGTCAACTCGATAAGCAGAGCTTTGAGCACAACGTGAATCGTTCGTGTTTATGCTTTTCGGCTAAGATACGGCAAAAGTAGGTTCTACACCGAATTCCCAGCGGCTCGGTTGTTTTAGCGCAAACAACTTCGAAATGCCTGTCTGAGGAGGCGAATCAAAGCCTAGCAAACAAGTATTGTTGGCAAGAGTTAATGCCGATTTTGAGGAATGAGATGTCGCGAACATGTAGCTATGAAGACAAGAGGCATACCACATTGCTGCGTCCCGAACAACTGAGCCTCTTTCTGCGTCGTTGAGCAATAGAAAGTTCTCGCTGGCTGCGCGACATGCCTTGTTCACTGAAACACAGCAAGAACTAACACTTCGTGTTCAAAATGACGGTTTTCACTGGATTTGTCAATCTTACACCATGCAAACAGCACACGACATGTTGGGTGAAAAATTTCTTTAAGAAACAAGTTAGAGAAACACTAGGTCTGGCAGAGGACAGAGTCGTGCAACTCAGTCACGAGTTACTAAACGGCTTCAAGCAAGTGTATCTATGTGAAAGAAAAAGAAGAAGAACAAGGAGTACTTCGTTGAAAATGTTTCTATTTTTAGGAATTCAATAAGATAATAAGTGTGAGACAGAAATAAAGCGGGTTGATCTGTAAGAGAAATTAGCAACGCCAGATATTTTAGCGGGTGCACATAAATTACAATGCGATGTTTGGATTTGCGAAATATGGAATAACTGGCAGTGCCTCACATGCACAGCGCCATTTTCAATGGAAACGAGAGCATAGGCACGAAATTCCTCATCTTAGATTACCTTAGAATGAAAACGTCTAAACAATGACTTGGCCACGTGTAACCTCGCGTACATTCCATAGAAAATAACCGCAAGGATAAAAGCCACTGGTGTGGCAAAGCTCAAATCACATTTACCCAAAAAATTTAGCAACTCAATCGTGAAGGCGCTGACATCACATTCAGAGGCTGAGGTAGTGGATGTACATGGGCGAATCGAGTGTTAGAATTGGTCATGCTTTAATATCTCAGACGTCGGTTGTGCTAGAGCCAAATGATCCTTACCCGACAAAAGTGGTAAATCGGTATTCGTAAAATGCTGCCTAGCAAAAGACTTTCCATGAAACACAAATCCAGAAATAGATTTGTTCCAAAAGCATGTGGGTCACAAATTTTCATGGTATGGTGTGAGAAAAAAATGTGGCAAAATTAAACCGAAGAACACCTATAAATACAACCAGTCACTTAACATTCAAATCAGACGGAGGTACAGTATGGTTAGAAGAGGATACGGACGAAGAAGCAGAAGGTTGAGGAGGATTCCATAGAAATTGCGCCGTGTTATAAAGGGCTTGAAGATCCGTCGGGCTAAGAGTATCGATATTTGCGTTCCATTCTCCAAATCCAAGAGCTTCAACGGTGGGTTTAACAGAGGATACAGGCTAAAAAGTAAAAATGGCACACGAATTTCTCAATAAGAAGAGCATAATTAGTGTGTGCCACCAGTGCTTAACAAAATTTTGTAATAATGGAACAATAAAATAACCAGTTTTATGTACGGTATCACAGAAAAGGAACTTAGACAGACAGAAGAAATTCGGCGTAAAAAATTAGTGCAAGTCCGAGGAAGAAAAATCAATATTTCAGGCGAAATACAAATCATAAAAAAGGTATTCGCAAATACACATTTTCACACTCAAGGATACCTTCAGCTGAAACGCTACTGATCACACGGACACTGTTAGTCAAAGTAGAGCTTCGCGAGTAACTAAAGCAAATATAGAACGTTGTATTATACTGTGACCTAAAGACTAGTGCGCAAAGCCATGCGGGCGAGCGATCCAAAAACGTAAAAGCGTCAGTGAAAACGAAAAAAAAGTAACTCGAAGACGTACTAATTAATAGCAGTTGAAATTAAAAACAGAAACTAGTTTTGCTAACTCCCACATCATAATTGAAAAGGACGACTAATCACTTTTTCGTAAAGAATGACCCAAGCATTTGAGAACCATAATTAATATTAACGCTTCCTAAAATAGCGATTTAATAATATTAAATGACATCCAAAAGGAAAGATGAAAAACATTCAATGCATGAGGAGAAGACTAAGTTTGTCTAACCAAAAGACACATATAAGCCTATTCAAAAAAGTCAGATTTACAAACACGCGCAAAACGAAAAAAATATGGGCTAATATATGAAAACAAACAATAAAAACAAAAAATCACACAACGTAAAGATTACAGAATAGAAGACAAAACAAAAAAATGATGAACAGATGAAAAACGTGAAGCTTACAGAGCCTCCCTTAAAAAAGCGCTTCATCTCTTCAATGTTTTCCATATTTTTTTTGCTCGAACTGATGCAAGATCAATTCCAATAAAATGGGGTAGCACCAATTCTATGTAGTCGTATGGTGAGGTGTAGTGTGGTGTGTCTGTGGCGTCGGATTAGGGCGCAGACATATTGAACCACCTGGCCTCAGCCAATCCCGTGTCTCTCTGCGATCCAGTGGCATGCGGGAAAGGAAGGCAGCCAACCAGAGAAGGA